CTTCTCTCTTGAACTCCTCTCTTGATCTCGCATGCGCTTCCTTGAGTTCTTCAAGGCCTCCAGTTGCTTTTACATGTCTTTAGAATAAAAATCTACCATTTTTGATAGCTTTTCATTCTCTTCCTGCAATATTTGAAGCTAGCATTAGTTCTTCTCTGCCGTCTTTGCCCTATCCTTTTTCAATCTTTGATATTACGCTGATACTCATCAACCAAATTCTGCTCTGCCGCCAACTGAGCTCTCAATACTTTCACCTCATGAGACTTTGCAATGAGGCGATGCCCCACACTTGCTATAGATGCCGATCAAAAGCTTCATATATGGTCACACTTACCCAGATAGTCAATACGAATGAATGATAAAAAAAAACTTTAAATGCTTGCATGCGGTTTTCACTGTGGCACGTCCTCTCCTCTCTGTTAAAACTAAGTCGGCAATAAGATTGACAATTTGACTCTGAATATTATATGATATGTCCCCTGAAAAATATATATAATATGATTACATTCTGCTTATGAACGATACAGCTAAATCTTTCCGATTTGTTTGACCTTTAAATTAATTAAAAAATGGGTGTGTAAGTGTTACTAATCAGCCCACCCCTTACCTTCTATATAAACTGCGAACACTTCCTCTTCCCACCACACCATTCCATTTCCATTTTCATTAGCTTCGTGTTCGTGTCGTGTTCATATTCGTGTTTGATTTTGAGGGAAATAAAAACAGAGAGAAGCAGAGAAATGGGTTCAGTTGGTTTGGCAGAGAAGCCTCATGCAGTTTGCATACCATTCCCAGCACAAGGCCACATAAACCCAATGCTCAAAGTAGCCAAGCTCCTCCACTACAAAGGCTTCCACATAACCTTTGTGAACACAGAGTTCAACCACAAACGCCTTCTTAAATCCAGAGGCCCCAACTCTCTCGATGGCCTTCCTTCCTTTCGGTTCGAAAACATTCCGGATGGCCTGCCTCCAACGGATGCCAACGTCACCCAAGACATACCATCTCTGTGTTACTCCACCAGGAGACACTGCTTGCCTCACTTCAGAGAGCTTTTGTCTAAGCTAAACTCTTCGCCCGATTCTCCTCCTGTGAGTTGCATACTTTCTGATGGTGTCATGAGCTTCACTCTTGATGCAGCAGAGGAATTAGGGATTCCAGAAGTGCTTTTCTGGACAACAAGTGCTTGTGGCTTCATGTCCTACGTTCAGTTCCATCGTCTCATTGAAAAGGGTCTCACTCCTCTTAAAGGTATTAATCTCAATCAAAATGAAAGACCCAAGTACTGTTTAGCTTGCGTTTGTTTATCTTTATGCTTTTCATTTTTAATAATAAAGTGCATACTAATTTGTAGAAAACACAAAACAAAACAAAACAAGCGTTTGTTGTTGCACAAAAACTTGTATGAAACGGAGATAGCACTGTTTTGCTATTTCCGATCAATCAGAATCGATTATGTGAAAAAATTATCACGTGTATCATACCATGATTGGCCGAATAGCATAATAGAGCTATTTCCTTTTGTGTAAGGGTTCTCTTGTTATTAGGTACAAATCTACAATTGCAGTATAATAATTGTGGATATTTGGTCGATATTTTGTATGTTTGGTTGATATCAATAATATACCAAATACTGTAACATGTCAGGCCTATTAATGGTGTGTGGTATGAAGTAATGAATTCAACCTTATTGATATTGACTGATGTTGTTCATATGATTAACTTTTATTTTAATTAAAATGTTAACTAACTTTCCTAATTTGATAATTTGATTTAATTTGCAGATGCCAGTTATTTGACAAACGGATACTTGGAGACTGTGATCGATTGGATACCAGGCATGAAAGATATCCGATTGAGGGACATCCCAACCTTCATGAGAACCACAGACCCAAACGACCCCATACTGGATTTTATCCTGCACGAAACAACACGAGCTAAAAAAGCCTCAGCTATCATTTTGAACACGTTTTATGACTTAGAACATGAAGTCATAGATGCACTTTCAACTTCGCTTTCACCTATTCACTGCATTGGACCTCTCCATCTACAACTCAGCCAGATCCCAGCAGACAACGAGTTGAAGTCAATCGGGTCAAACCTGTGGACAGAAGAACCAGAGTGTCTTGAATGGCTCGACACGAAAGAACCCAACTCTGTGGTTTATGTCAATTTCGGAAGCATCACGGTCATGACATCTGAGCAGCTGATTGAGTTTGCTTGGGGGCTTGCAAACAGCAAGCATACATTTTTGTGGGTTATTAGGCCTGACCTTGTAGGGGGAGAATCAGCTGTAGTTCCGGCAGAGTTTGTGGAGGAGACGAAAGAAAGGAGCTTATTGACACATTGGTGCCCTCAAGAACAAGTCCTGAACCACCTGGCCACAGGAGGGTTCTTGACGCACAGTGGATGGAACTCTACGCTTGAAAGTGTATGTGGTGGAGTGCCCATGATCTGCTGGCCCTTCTTTGCAGAGCAGCAGACCAATTGTAGGTTTAGTTGCAGAGAATGGGGGATAGGGTTGGAGATAGACCCTGATGTGAAAAGAGACTATGTGGAGGGGCTTGTGAGGAAGTTGATGGAGGAAGAGGAAGGCAAGGAGATGAGGAAGAAAACCTTGGAGTGGAAGAAGTTGGCAAAGCAGGCCACTACTGGTCCTAGTGGGTTGTCTTTTGTGGATTTTGAGAAAGTGGTCAACCAGGTGGTTCTAGCACAGAGGAAGTAGAATGATTTGATTAAATCACTGTTTATGGTTAATTAATTATGTATTATTTGTGTTGAATCTAGTTGTTAATTAAATTTGTATTATTTGGACCATATCCGGTTCCATCTCATGCACACACGTCTAAATTATTCTTTCACGTTTGTCTTCTTGTTTTATAGCCAAACCAGAGATACTAAACAAATTTAGGGGACCTGCAATCACTAAACCTTCTATAAAGAAAAATAATCCCTTGTTTGTGTCGATGGAAGCTCTCTGATTTCGACCTGGACAGTTTTGACACATCTCTTGGTATCGTTGGCCTTTTTTTCCAACTCTTCCTCAGCTTTGGTTGGTAAAAAAGTGTGAAAGGAAGTAGTCTTCCACTTTGGTAAAAACCCTCTGATTTCCACCTCAACACTTTTTTCTTGTTCCTCAGGATTGTTGGTCCTATTTGCCTCTTCCTCTTCAGATTTGGTTGGTAAAAAAATGTAAAAGGATGTAGTCTTCGTGCTTGAAGCCATGAGAAATCTTGATTTTTTTTTTTTCTTCTTTTTTTACGGATGAGAGAATGCAAGATTAATTGGTAGTTGAAGTTTAATCTGGCTCAGGCTTTTATAATGATGCACTGTGCAAAGTGGAAAAGCTGAATTAAATCCGGGTAAGGGCCGGGTATGACAATACCATCCCCATCCCCGCTCTCCATCCCCACCCCCACTCCCGAACCAATCCCCGTTTAATAGGTTTCGGGGAATCCCCGTCCCCGCCCCCGTCGGGGGACTATCCCCCATACCCACCCCGAATCCCTGATTTTTTTTGCATAAAAAATATTTATCATACATTTTAATATTAAGTTTCATATTAAATTATCATTCAACACATTTAAATTAACTATAAAGTTCAACTCAACTATTCAAAATCACATCAACATGAAAATCCAAATAAGATTATGAAGAATTAGGAGAGGGAGGTTAACTTAGGGTTAAACATAAATATTATAATTATATATTTATTTATTTAAATATAAACATATATATTTTCGGGTCGGGTTCGAGGATGGGGACGTCAATACCATCCCCTCCCCATACCCGTCGGGGATTTTTCAAGTTCGGGGATCCCCGTATCCGATATCCATTTGGCCCCGAAATCTCCCCCCATTAGGGTCGGGGACCTGATGAGGACCCGCCCCTGCGGGGATTTTTGCCATCCCTAAATAGGACCATGTATAATGTAAAGGGAAGATTTTGTATTAAATACTGAAGCTTTCTCTCTTTGCTCTCATTTCTCCCGAACATGGGAATGCAATTTTAAACTCATTCCCAAGCTCCTAAATCTCGAACCAAACAAGCTATCAATGCTTCTTCTTCCACTGCCAAATTGCCCATGCTGACACATCTCATAGATTTCACCAATTATATAACTCTGTCTTCTCTTCTCAACTCACATTCAGGACCTTGTAGCTCAAATGGTTTTGATTCTCCCCTCCCCCAATACAGCTTGTATAAAATAAAAAATTCAAATTTTCCCCAAATTTTTTTTAAAAGATAATTTTTGGATTCAGGATATGGGCTGGGTAGTGGATAACATTCCTTAGCATGTTTGCATCTTTCCCCAACACCAAAATAATTCAATATGTTCACACTACAAGAAAACATGGATTCAAACATTAGGCAACAACTAAGATTTCCAATAGGGTAATGTGCTTACATATGATGTGAGAATGAATTTACGAAATGAGTGTATTTAAACTCCAATTTGGAAAGCAATTCCACCAACAATATCTTGGCTTTCAGTTTACTTATATTTGCATAGGCAGATAATAGATTCATGACAAATTATGAGAAATTTCAGTTTGGTCGTTATAGTTTTTATTTTCACGTTTTAACCTATGTAGTTTACTAATTGTTGTAATTCAAAGACATTAGCTTCTTTTTCTTTTTCTTTTTCTTTTTTAATACAAGTGATGTTCTATTTTAATTTCATCAAAATTATAAAAAGGGAGATTCGAACTCTGGTGTAGAGTGAGAAGTACATTCACTCTAGCAAACTTGACTAAGTACATGATGTCTACAATTCAAAGACATTAGCTTAATTACATCGCATTTTTGACTTGGGCTAATTCGTGACAACAAAACTGTAAAGGACCCAAATTCAGTGATTTTTATAAACGGGCTGTTCACATGTGAACTCTTCACAAAACACATATTATAACTGGACTTAAAGCCCATCCCAACCAGGTGGGCCACTTTTCGTGGCCCCTTCTGCCTTCAAAATTCTTAATATGTGCGAGGAGGCATTGAAATTGAAAGCAAGAAAACCTGCCAGGTGAAATTCATTTACTAAATGGGTTTGAAGTGCAATAGTTACATTAACCACGTCATTTTATACTTACACCCACACATTAATATATACAATGATCACCACAAAAGAGCCACGTGTCCTTCTAAGCTCAACACTCTCACTCAATGGTTGAACACTGAGAAGTATTGGGATCGAACAGAGCAGGCAAGAGGTACTTCCGCCCGTTCACACCAATCGCATTGTAGCTCGCACCAGAACTTGTGTCCAATTACAACACCCCAGCATAACCCGGATAAGCCCCTTTCCCATACACCCCAGGACAAGCCGAAGCCGCCTCCAGCGGAGCCTCAGCCGAGCCCATATAGTAGCCACTTCCAAACGGGTTCGTCACAGAACCGGCCAAAAGACTCGCGATATTTATGACCATGCCATCCATCCCCACGTCACCGTTGGGTGCACCCAGCGGTGTCTGTGGCCCGTACACGGGTTGGTGGAACGGCCACGCACACTGACCCGGGCACTGAATCACCGAGTTGCCAACCCAGATGAAGACCGAGTTGCCTTTGTGGCCATGGGACCCACAGTTGCTCATGCAAAAGTCCTCAACCGCCACGTCATGCGATGTGAGAACAAGAGTCAACCCACCGGGTGGCGAGTTGACCCGGTGAGCCAACTCGGAGACATGAGATTTCTTCAAGTTTTTGCCAATTGTGTAGTTTTTGTCTGAGAGTTGGGTTGAGAGAGAAATGCGGGTTGGTTTTTTGCCAGCTTTTTTCATGTAGGTTTGGACTGTGCCCCACCACAGAGAGACTGAGGACTTGGAGTGTTGGTCTTTTTGTGGATCAATATGATTAAGAGAGAGAATAAAATCAACAACAATGGATTTTTGAGGTGGTGAGAAATTTCCGTACCATAGAATTGAAATTAGGAGGTCCCCTTGGAGCAAATCACCACCATGGTAAGTTAGGGCCATGGGTGGAGGTTGGTAGAGTGATGTTAGCTTGCTTGCCCCAAGACACACATGAATTATTAAGCTCAATTGAGCAAGAAAAAGGAAAAGATAGGACGGTTTAGAAAATTGTGAGGAACCCATTGATTTCCACATGTTTTAAAAGAAAAAGATTGTTGGGGTTCGAAAGATTCTCAAAGGGGAGGGAGATAAACTGCGGTACTTTTTTGAGTGATGGGATTGAGAGGAAGGAGTGAGAGTATATAGTGGTAGTTGGTGCATGCACCAACCAAAGTGTTTCAAATATCAAAGCCTTACAAAAAAATTGAGAACATACATATATTTTTTTAATATAATTGATTATATATTATTAGAGAAATCAAATCTTTGTCTAAATGATGTAATAGAAATTTTGATTACCAAATCTTAATTATGAGCGATTTTGTAATTCAAAGCATGATAAGAAAAAAAATTAAATATGACATCAATGGTTAGTTTTTTTTGGCAATCTAAAACCCTAATTTATATGAACAGTATCTCATGCACGTAATGAATTGGTGGGGTTCTAATTTGGAGAAACACTTTGAAACGGAGATATCACTATTTTGTTATTTCCAATCAATCACATTATGTAACGTGTGATTACTTTTTCACATGCCAATATGTGATTAGTCGAAAATAGCAAAACATTGTTATTTCTGTTTCATACAAGTTTTTCTACCTTATTTGGTACCTTTGATTAGCAAAGTCTTAGAGAAAAGTATTACAGAGATCACGAGAGCATAGGAAAAGAAGGAATCTCCAATTCTTTAACGCTTTTTGATTAATTAGGATTAGATATTGAGATTAGGAAGGAGACTTTGCTTTGCATTTGCTTTACTGACGCCAACTTCGATTTCCTGGCTACCAAAATGGCATCGGGGGAAGCAGAAAGAGTGAAAATTGAAGGAACCTTGAACCTGCAAAGGTTCAACAATGGGCTGCATGTGCTTAAAACCAAATTACTAGGCACCACTTTAGATTAATTTATACCTTAATACTTGAGCTTTTGCACTACCTTAAAGCTATATATGCTCAAGCCTAATGAGGTTTAAACATGTGAAACATGCACTACTAAAAAAAACCCCTTGTGCGACCAAACTTTGCGCGACCAAACAAAATTCGTCGCGCAAAGTGACTTTGCGCAACAAATATAAATCATCGTCGCTCAAAGTCTTACACGACTCAATTTTGCGCAACGAAAAACAAATCGTCGCACAAAGTCACTTTGCGCGACAAAACTTTGCGCGACGGCAAAGAATCGTTAAAAAAAATTGGAACACTTTGCGCGACGAAATAATAATCTTCGTCTCGCAAAGTCTATACAAAAATAAATAAAATAAAAAATTTATTTTGTTAGAAAAATATATTATTGTAGTTCGGATTGGGTTTTTGTTAGAAAATATATATTTTAAATTGACGATCAAATTGGTTCATTGTATTCATATAGGGTCAAGGAATGTAGCTGTAAAAAATCATCAAAATCGGAGTTAAAATAACTGTTTAATCGTGATTTTTGTTTATAACCATCGAAAAGCTTTGTCCCATTACGTGATCTCTGAATGTTTATTTTTTCCGATTTTTGGGGTATACGATCTCGAAGTATAAACAAACAAGTTTGACGGTTGGATCGTT